AGAAATAGTGTAAAACCTCACAGGGTCAAAGAAAGAAAGACCCAGAGTCTGATTTATAAACTTTGAACACATTAGGAACAGATCAGTTATACATGAAAAGTGTAAAATAGGCTTCTTGGAAGGGAAATAAAAGTGCTATTCGCTATGGGAAAAGGGAATAATAACATTTTAATTGTATTGGCTAAAGTTAAGGACTAGAAGAAGGTGCTTATTTTCTATGCCTGTCTTGTTCATGGACCTGTTATATGAGTTCAAACGGGGCATTACGGCTTTCTGTCTCAGCTTGTGTTCTTACATCAGATAAAATTCCTTTGAAGCATATACTCTGTTAATACTAGGGAAGAACTATTAATGTTAGAGAAAGTGAATGCTTGTCCTTGGATCTATCTGAAAACTCATTAAAAAATTAGTATTAGAGTACTTACAAAACACAGAGACACAAGACTCCCTCCATGCTTTCACTCTCTCGTATTAAATAGCTACCATTCTTTCCCTTCTTGCTCAGCAGTTCTTCACAGGTTCTTTTTGTTATCTTTCCATGAAAAAATGGGAGCTCCATGGACAAAATAAAACAGGGTTTCTTGCCTTTCAAAGCAATCCCAGAGAAAGTCAGAAGGCTGGCATTGAAAGAAGCCTTACTCTAAAAGCAGCTGACTGCAGGCAACCAACATTAGAGGTGCTAAGTACATACATGAGTTCATCTGTGTCGTTATCACTGATCAGTGAATTTGGTTACTGGCCTGAGGTTACAGGTCATGAATGCAGGAAATGGAAAATGGTTTGTGTGCACTGGTCACAGTCCACTTGAGAAGGGAAGAGTCTTGTCACATTTTATCAGCAGTCATTTGAGTTGTGTATCACACTTCTAAGCCATGCAATAGCTAAGTTGACACGTAAGTATATTTTTAAGAAGTATACTTACATTTTTAAGTTAACTTTTAGGTTTAAAGTGGCTCAAAACCCTGCATATAGTCTTCTTGCTCATGGTTTTGAAAAATGCTGCTTGGTTTGATTCCTATCCTTGCCAGACTTGCCTTCAACACAGTTGTTCAATTTGGGTTTTTTTGATGTTAGTCAGCAATACCTGAGAATGAGATTTTCCAAACCAAAGTATTCTCCTGCCCTCCCCCTCCTCCTCCCCACCCCCCCTTCATATTTTAAAGTATAGATATTTTATCAAGTTCTGCTGTCTCTGTGCCACGATCCAGGGAATTTGGCAGGAAAGAGAAGGAGGTCAGACAGTGCCTTTTGCCGCTCCTGGGAACCTGCTATCAATTCAGTAAGGACAGGGTACAGCCACATGTGGAACTGTTGCTCCCTGAGGGAGGAAATGCTGCCCAGCTCCATGGGACGTATTCTCCCAGGCATTTTGTACATTCCCTGATGGAAGCCACAGACCTAAGAAAATGCACACAGACTTGGAGAAGCAGGAGACAAGGACCAGGCTGAGCAGTGTTTGTGAGCGACAGCAAACTGAAAGAGGACTTAAAGGTGTGGGGGAAGCAGTGATTCAGAGGGCAAGAATGTCAGGAGAGAGAAAATCCTCAAAGGAGAGGAGAAGGACCCCTGCAATACAGCTCGTCGTTGAGGTCAAAACGGAGCCCAGATACACAAGTGCTGGCACTGGCAAGAATTTTCCTGATTTCAAAACATGCTATTTGCACATTCACCTCCCAGCTGTCACACCGAGGGCCAACTCCTTATGAACTATGAAGTCCTCATGATGTGTCATGATTTCCCTGTTGCTCTGCTGGTGACCTCTTGCCCTGAGGCAATGAGCCCTGCAATTTCTGTTCAGGATCTGGCACCCCTGCTGCCACTTACTCCATTAGTGCTGGTGACATTGGCCCTGCACAGTGCAATTCCAGGATTCACATTCCTGATGATCCACACAGAAGAAAAGGGAATGCCAAAAAAACCCATTTTGATATTTCTTGCTTCTTTTCCACAAATCCTCCCCCATTTCACAGCGATCCAAGAAACTTGTAAAGTGCTTGACAGTTAGGATATGGCCGAGCTACAGCATGCCTACAGAATCTCAGTTCTCGTTCCCTTTGTGCAAATAACATAGGATAAAGGATCAGGTGTGGTGGTGGTGGTCAATTATATGACACCTGTTTTTCCTGTATGTCATCTACCTCACTAAAGCCATACCTTGGACTATGCTACAGGAATAAGTTAGGACTGTATGTGGGAGGGAGAAGTTAACTATTGGAACTCATGTCTTTTTTGTTCACAATTAATAAGTGCACTTGAGAAAAGAAAATGAGTGTTTGTGATGTCCTGATCAGCCTCAGTCGTGAAGCCATGGAAAGCTCTTGGCAATCCTCTATTCATTCAGAGGTTTAAACAGAGTTGATAAAAATAAGCTGTAGAACTACACAAGGATTTTAATAGAGAAACGAAGTGTGAGATACAGTGAGCACTGACATCCTGACCACAGGGTTGTAAATACTGACAGAATACTAGTAGGCAAGAGCAGCAATATTGTATGTGCAGCTGTAACTTTCATGTTTCTTAGTCTGACAACTTTATACATACAAAAATCTTACATTGACATTAGTGTGTTTAACTGCAAGTTAATCATGCATGACACTAAGAGCATTTCCAGATGGCATCTTAGTTAGTTCAAGAATAAAGCAAAAAGGTACAACTTTGTGTCAAAGAAATTTAGAGACCTAGAAAGAAAGGCTCCCCTAAGAGAAAAGCCTAGAAATGGCAACTCCGGGGAACGCTAAAGCTGAGGTCTGTACTGCATTGACCACGAATTACCAATAGAACAAGTCCCCATCCCCAAGGGGATAGTGAGAGTGGGGGGAAATAGTCCCCTTTCACCATGCAAGTGTCCTTAAGAGCATGTGGCAAAAGTTCTTGTTATCAAACACACCTTTATTTTCCTACACGTTAAAACTGTTTGTAGCTTTTGTCTACACGTCTTATAAATGAAAGATTTCCGTGAGGTATTATGGGGTGAATGACTCTTATAGAAGCCCAGCTCTGCAAAGGATGAGCAGCAGCTGCTCAGCCTCAGTGCTGCCCTGCTTCAGGCAGGTTCTCTCTCCTCTGCCTTGAGAGTAAAGCAGATAGCAAACAACTGCAAATTCCTCTTTCAGGAAGGTAATGACTACACATTCTTCACAATCTTCCCTAAAGACCTCATTAGCTAGTCACTGAAACAGAAGACAATCATTTCAGTAGATCTTGCAGATCTGAAACTGGAAGTTGAAAGAGCAGCAATATTCTGCCCACTGACTCCTCAGTAGAGTACTCTGATGGCAAAAAATCCTTGAGAAGCAGGAAGTGTTTGAGGAGAAATGGGGGCTCCTTTCTGCAGTAGTCACCATCCACAGCCTCGACCACCTTCCTCTTCAGGCAACACCAGGTACATTCTTGCCCAGCCTTTTCTTTCTCCTGCCAATGGCAGTTGCAGTGCCAATGGCACCAGTCCTTAAGTCAGCATGCTTCTGTTTTATCAATGCTCTTCAGAAACTTGGAACTAGCTCTGGGAAAGGTATTGTGAGGTTTGAGATGATACTGAGACCCAGGCAAAGGGCATTGGGCATGGGGAGGCAGGGAGCAGGGTCTCTCTGGAGAAAACATGCCACTGGCAAGCAAAGCATGAAGAGCAGATTCTGTGTGGGGCAGCAGGAGCAACAACTGGGGAGACTGGGAGAAACAGAACAAGAAACGAGACAGTGGATGGAGAAACAAGAGAGAAGCTGTAAATATGGTCTGGTCTGTCACTAAACTGCAAAGATGATTCAGTGGCCAGACAAAGGAACTCCACATTGTGTCTTGCATGCATGCATATGTCTACCTATATATGCTTTGCTCTGGCACTGTGGGCTAGATCAGGGCAAAAAAGCACGGCTCTGGCAAAGACAAAACAGGATTTGTAGATCACAGCCTGGCATACCTGTTAATGGATGTTGTGTCAATACCTGGAAGGCAGTGGGAGATGTCCTTGTCAACCACCACAAAAGCTGTGCCATGAGCCTCACCATGACTTGTACCACTCAGCATCAAATATTTACCATGTATGTTGGGATCATGTAACAGTATATCTCTGTGGGCCATTTTTAGCTGTAAACTCTGAGCAAGCATTTCCTAACAAGTATTTCTGGCTTAACAAATTTAGCAAGTATTTTTGGCTTTCATGAACCTGTCTGAGGAGTGGTCAGAAATGAGGTGGTGGTATTAACTGCAATGAAATCTGTGTGTATTTCAGTTTATAGGCCAGAGGGATGCAGAGAGAGAGCGACACTGGGTTTCCTCACCACTGTTCACTGATAGAGACTTCTAGACTGCCTGATGTTAAGAGAGGCTCTTGTTTGAATGGAGGAGAACTGGCGGGGTTGCCTACATGACAGTTAGGAAGAGAGTCTTTCTCAGTAAACCTGGGATGCTGCATGGCATAACAACTTTTGTGCATCCAGAGTGGAGACGGGGCTTCTGGTCAGTGCAGAGGAGCCCTTTCCTAGAAGCTGCTGTAAACCTGCCTGGTGAAAACCACAGTAGGCGAGCCTGGTCTCCTTTCTCACCTACAGCTCGCTCTCATGTTGTCTGTGTTTGTAGCAGTGACAGAGTTTGAACCTACTCAAATTCATGCTGTGGACAGTTTGTGACAATAGGGTCTTTTCATGTCAGAGGGAAAAAAAGACCAAGAACTGCTCCACGTTCTGTTTAGCTTCTGATAAGAGGCCTGGGAAGGTAGAATGGCAGTGATGCCCCAAGGGCTTGAGATGTTGAGCCAGTCACACCAGGCTGAGCCTTTGGGCATTCTCAGGCAAATCCTAGCTACACTAATCCAAACTGTTGCTGTTGTGAATCTGATCTTAAAATCATTTTACTCTGCTCCAAAATAGGATTAGGTTGGTTTTTTGCTCCTCATACACTGAAGGAGGTCACAGTTCCTAGGATAGCGTCCTGCAGTGACTAACTAGCTTATCAGATATCAGAGAAAGGAGAAAAAGTGAAATTCTTTTTCCTGAGAGACTACCTGTGGCCTGCTTCTAGCCCTACATGGAAAAATATACCTAGATTATTCCTTCCTAAAAATCACAACACTTATATCCTTCAGTCTTGTGTTTTTTTACTGAACTAAGCGCAACCACTTCCCTCAGTCTTTTCCCACAAGCTGCATTTTCTTGCAGTTGTTCACTTTGCTTTTCTCTGACACCACTTTGGCTACTACTTCTATAAAATTTGATGCCTAAATTTGAATCACACCTTTTGATTAGAAGAGCTAATCAAAAAGCTCGTTTCAGGTAGTTAATCTTCATTACACAGAAAAACTGTTACAGAAACAAGACCTGCAACATTTTGCCAGCAGTGTCAAGTCCTGGTGTCTAATTTGCTTTCTGCCATACTGCTACCTTCACCCAGTTTCAGTTTCGTCTTCTGTTATGGGACTTAGTGGGGCCTTTTCATTGTGGCACCTCATATTACCATGCACATTTGGAGCTCTGGTTCTGTAGCCTCTCCTTGCTGCAGCTGTAGCACAGCAAAAGTCTTGATAGTGCCTTTTTCAAGAATAGGAAATCTGAGGAAGAGCTGGGT